TCTTAATTCCAGTAACTTAGTCTAGTCCGAGCTGCTCCCCACAGATCCCCCTTTCTTTTTATTTTTTAGCGTTGATACGCGCCTGTCTTCGGTGTCCCGCGGTACACACTCTGCTCTACTTGCTAGAGTTGCCACAGGCTCTTACAAGTCCTATCAGGCAAACCGAATCCGGGTCCTCTCTTCGCCATGTTGTGAGGAGGTTTTTAGGCGCTGATGCGTGCCTGTGTTCGGTGCCCTGCAGCGCATGCTCTGCTCTGCTAGAACTGCCTGCAGGTGTTTACAAAACCTATCAGGCAAACCGAATCCAAGCCTTCTCATTGCCTTTTTGTGGGGAGGCCTTACTGATGTTAATTCGTGCCTGTCTTCAGTGACCTGCGGCTAGCCGCCCAGGTGCTCATCGCCTCACTAATCGGGCAGACCGAATCCAAGCCTTCTAATTGGCATGTTGAGGGGAGGCCTTATTTCTCTCTATTTCTCTATCTCCGGGCATTCCTATTTCTCCCATTTTACTTCTATCTTCCAGCATTCCTATTTCTCTCATCTTACTTCTAAAACTTCTGTTTCTCTTATCCCCGCAGCTTCCCGCTCTCATTCCATTTCTAAACTTCTGTTTTCTCTTATCCCCGCGGCTTCCCGGCGCCTCGCCCTGCCGGCAGCTTCACGGCTCCGCGCAGCTTCCCGGCGCCTCGCCCCGCCAGCGGGCTCCGCCCCGAGGCTGCTTCTCCGCGCCTCGCCGGCTCTGAGCCGCTTCAGCCCGCGCCTCATCTGCGCGGCTTCCCGGCTTTGCGCGGTCCGCGGTCTCCACGCTTAACCCTTTTGCGTCTGAACCACGGCCTACGCCAGCGTTCCCTATCTATTCACGCCCCGTGCTCTCTCTGCACGCGGCGGCTTCCGCGAGTAACACAGCGTAGCTTGCGTCTCCGCCACTAGGATTCAATCTAAGTTCCCCGGGCTAGCCTGGCGAATTCAACCCAGCGTACGTCTCCGCCCCACGATCTGGCTTCCCGTCCTTTGCTCCCCGGGCTAATCAGACGGATCCCAATCTGGCTTACGTCTCAGCTTCTGGTTTCAACTTTTCGCCCCCTATTCCCGGGCTAACCTGAGAACCCCAAAGTGGCTTTCGTCTCCGCCTCGGCCTGCCCCCCGCGGCTTCAATTTCCCTAACATTTTTCTCTACCCGGTATGTTTCCCTAAGTTTTCTTCCAACGATATTCCTCCCTCATTTCTCCTGGCCTCTCCCCACAGTCCGCATCCGAGTCTGTTTGTTCTAGCTTTCACTTTCGCTTTTGACCTTAGAGATTTCTCCCAGCTTCCCCCCGTAGTCCGTATCCGAGTCTATGCCTAGGCTTTCAACAGCTTCCTCCGGCACCTCTTTCGTCCGGCTTTTCCCTAGGCTGTTTGCTAGTCTCTCTCTCCGATATTTTCCCAATTCTTCCCGGTCTTTCCTCCTAAGTTTCCTATCCGTCCTAGGTTTTCTATCCGAGTCAGGTTTCCTATCCGAGTCACGGCACCATTATGTCGCTCCCCCTCTTCGTGGAGGAGCAACACAGGACCCTGCGCTGTTCTTTCGTCTGCTCGGCCCTCCCCGGGTTTGCTGCTGGTTCTTCCCGGGTTGGCTACTATCCCTTCCACCTCCGTGGAAGGGCAGTTCCCCCTGGCCGCATTCCCCACTTCCGCAGGGGAGCGGCACACCGCCGGCCGGTTCTCTCGGGGGCTGCACGGGTGTTCCTTCAGCTAGATGTTCCCCATAGATGTTCCCTGTGCATGCCGTCTCTCTCCTCCTTTATAGTCCTTCTCCGCCAATCCCAACTCGGCTGCCCACACGCCGAGCACGCTGCTCTCCAATCAGGAGCAAGTCCTACAGTTAATTGGTTGAACTGGAGGCAGCTGTGCGGAAGCTGTTTACTTCTCTCCCAGCGCCATATTGTGGGAGAGCAGATGCACAGAATAAGTCTTAATTCCAGTAACTTAGTCTAGTCCGAGCTGCTCCCCACAGAGGAGAGCAGATGCACAGAATAAGTCTTAATTCCAGTAACTTAGTCTAGTCCGAGCTGCTCCCCACAGAGGAGAGCAGATGCATAGAATAAGTCTTAATTCCAGTAACTTAGTCTAGTCCGAATTGCTCCCCACACACTCCCTTCCACCGACACGTTATCATCACCTGGGTTCATAGCTACCTTGAGGTTCGCTTGGCTGTGGACGGCTGTGTGCTTAATGACATGTGTCCACCACGGTTTTCACTGCCTTGGAAACCTGCTGTGCTCCATGCAGTCATCGCTCCCTCCCTAACTCCTGGTAACCGCTGAGGTGTTTTGTTTTGTTTTGTTTTGTTTTTTTAAAGGCTTGTGTATTTGAAAGGCAGAGTGAGAGAGAGAGATACTTTCCATCTGCTAATACCCTCCCCTGAGCAAGGCCAAAACCAGAACCAGGAACGCCATCCTGGTCTTCCACATGGGTGGCAGGGGCCCAAGTACTTGCTCTAGCTTCTGCTGCCTTCCCAGGCACACTCACAGGGAGCTGATCAGAAGTGGAGCAGGTGGCACTCAGCCAGAGCTCTGATAGGGGATGCGCCCCAGTGCTGGCCCCAGTGCGCATCTTTACTCTCTCCATAGTTTTCACTTCAGAGCAGACTTTCCTCACTTCAGGACATAATTGGGGCTGGTTCAGAGCATTGGCCTGACCACCTCAAGGTCACACAGTAGCTGCCATAGAGAGCTGCAGTCATCCTCACACAGCAGCATCAGCAGGAAGGAATGACAGGAGCTTTCGTCCTGAATGCCTTTTTTTTGTTATCAGGCAAGACTTCTTGGGAGACTTGAGTAAATTTCACAATAGGTGAAGTAGTGCCTGAACTACGTAAGTCTTGTCTTAGTGCCCAAAGTGGGCCATGTTGCCACCCCATACTAACCCTAATATGGGGGAACGACTTAGATTGATTCCAGTTCATTTCCTAGCCCCGGCTGTTACTGCTCTGGGAAAGTGAGTTGATGTTCAACTAGAAGAGGACAAGAGTCTGGATCAGAGCATAGTTCTAGGTGCCCCTCCAGGCTGGTTTTACCTGGGTTTTGTACAGACAGGCTTTGTAGACAGGACCACTCTCACATGCTGGCCTTGTCCACCAAGTGCTCATGAAAGCCTGGGCCCCAGCTCGAGGTCTGTTCAAGAGTGCAGACCAGAAAGAGGTTACTTCTGGTTTTCAGTCTCCTTTGTGGCTCACAGGCCCTGTTAGGCTAAATAAAGCCTTTTGCTACAGCCAGGCCCCACTACTCACTGGCTTTGACCTTGGTGGGTTGCTGAGCCCTGGAGTCGGTTTCCTTATTTCTGTTACAAGTAGTAGTCCCAGGAGGGTATGTGGAAAAGCTCCTGGCCTGGCCAGGCAAAGGGATCTGAGAATCCGAGCTGTTCATTGCCTGCACTCACCCTCTACTCTGAGCTCAGTTGGGTTGGGTTCAGCAGGCTAAAGGGAGTGTGCAGAGCGGGTACTGTGGCCAAGGAGACCTCTCTTCTCCCAGGTACTCATTTACAGAGGACTCTTCAAGCCTGGCCAGCTGTTTGTCATGTCTGTTATGAGGTGTTAAATTGTTTTCTGGTGAAGGAATGAGCTAACGGTGAGCCTGCTCCCCAGTTCTCGATCACTGCTCCTGGTTCTGCACTGGCTGTGAGCAGGGGCAGCCCCCACCCGCCTGCCCCTCCTTAGACCTCAGCTCCCGACTCCAGGCTTCAGTGGCTGTCGGTGTTGGTGCCCATTCCAGGACATCCGTCTCCCCACCTGCTTTCTTGGGACAGCAGCGCTGCCCTCCCCCACTCGCCCCCCCTCGTTTCCTATGTTGTTGAAGTCCGCAGTCTGGTGGCTGTGATAACGCTGTCGGTTCCTCTCTGCTTCCCCTCCTGCTCATGAGTGCTGCTGCTGTTTCACGGGTGGGGACTGTGTCCAGATTTCGCCCTCCCCTAAATGCACACAGATCCCCATGACACAAGCTGTTCTGACGTGTCTCCTGAGTGAGGCTTACAGCCATGGTGGCTGCGTGCCTTGTGCCTGTCATGTCCATAGCTGGCTGGCCAGGCCACTCTGATCTAGCGAGAGTTCTTGGGAGCCTTGGGCAGCTATCACAGTGGGCTGACACTGGCTTCTGGAGGGACGGTGCTGGGGGCGGTGTTTTTGACAGTGGCTTGCAGACGTCTGTCCCAGGGCGGACCCTATTTTCTTGGGACGACCCCGCTTTTCTCGCCTTCTGGGGCTCTGCCTGCAGCTTCCCTTTTCACTGGAGGGCGCACCTGTGTTTGTGTGGCATCTGGGAAGCCGGTCTGGTGGAAGGAATGTGGGCGTTCCAGCCTGACCACTTCTCCCTGCTTCAGCCTCTTCGTGTGTGAGAGGGACAGTGCTGAGGAGAGGACCGAATGAGTTTGTCGGGGGAAGATGAGCTTTAAACAAATGGGACTCACAGTTCAGTCCAGGTCGGTTTTCACTTTTCCCAGGAAGATGAGGACAACTCAAGATCTGCCAGCGAGGCTGGACCTTGGGCCCCAGATGTAGGTGTGAGACCCTCGGCAGCAGCCCTCCCTGGGGCTGAGCGCCCGGGGTGCAATAGTGGGGGGGGGGACTCGCCCAGCGAACCCAGAGGAGTCTGCCGGCAGCGGAGCAGTGGCAGGGCTGCAGATTAGGCATCACGTCACCAGGAATGCTGCTTCTTGCCCTCTGTGACTTTCAGCGTAGGGCGATGCAGAAGGGAGCCGACATTGTTAGCCTGCGAGGAAATCCGCAAGTTGCTGCAAGATCCTGACAGGGGCATTTATATTCCGCATCTCCAGAGCCACAGAGACCTCCTGCCTCTGCCGGCCCACTCACTGCTAAGCGCAGTCGGGGAAGGACATCCGCGCGGCTGGCTCCTTAGGTGCCCAGGAAGTCACAGGAGATCCTCCACGCCCCAGAACGCTCTGTGGGCTGTGAGGGGAACGCTGCCGCTCCTTGTTACTCACATTACACCTGCCCTTTTTCACAGGGATGCTTGAAGATGGAAAGAAATTCGATTCCTCCCGGGACAGGAACAAGCCCTTTAAGTTTATGCTGGGCAAGCAGGAGGTGATCCGAGGCTGGGAAGAAGGGGTTGCCCAGGTACGTTCTTGGTTTGTTTCCTAGTATCTGCCTTTTAAATTATTTTTGAACATATAGGTAGTTCAGAAGTCAAAGGTATAATTAAGTCATATTTTCATCGCACCCCCTTTGCCTGGTAACCTAACAAGTAACGCTTGTTATTAGTGTTTGTTGTGTGTATTGTAGGGGTTCTTGAAGCCCATGTACAAACACATACTCTCATTTTCCCTGTGTTAACATGCACCGTCCATGTTGTTTTCCACTTTGTTTTCTGTACCAGCACATAAAAGAGGAGTACAGGGGCAGAGTGGTGTAGGATGTGTGGGCTTGGGTTTATCTGGCCAGTGCCCTACTGGTGGGCATCAGGGTCATGTTTGTGTTTTGTTGTATTATCGAGGAGCAGAGGTTCGTCTGGGGTGGACTTTATTTGACCTGTGTGCAGGTGTTGCTGTTGGATGAGTTTTTGGAAATTGCTGGGGTGGGTGACTTAAGGGCTTGTGTGCACTGTACCTTGACAGCTCTCGCCCAGTCGCCATCTACAGGAACTCAGATTCTGTCTTCCTCCAGCCCCTCCTGGTAAACTTTTGGACTTAGGGCAACATGATAAGAGGAAAATGGCATCTTGTGGTCGCCTTAATTTGCCTCACTACTGACCATATTATGTCAGACCACATGGGAGAGGTCAGACCCAGGCACAAAGCCATTTTGTTTGTCTTGGTTCTGTTTTTCCTCACCTCTTCCTTCTCACAAAACTCCCAGGAGACAATAGGGGACCAGGGCCACCAGATCTCAGATGTGCTCTGTCTCCCATCCAGCTTGGGAATTTGTCTTGGCTTTGCCCAGGTAAAGGGATGCTTTGGCCTGAGACCCCAGAGGCTTTGTAGTCAGACTCTGCATGGGGGCTATTTAGTCTGTTTCCCTCCCACCACGAAGAAATGGGACTCTACCAAGATGAAAGATTTCTGTCCATCGCCCATCCCAGAATGCACAGGCCCCAGTTCCTCTGTAAATGTCACAGAGTTTTCTCCAAATAAGCCGCTTAGCTTTCAGAGCTCTTCCCAGGCACCTGGGTTTCCGTTCTGGTGGGGCAGAGGCTGGTATTTGCAAGGAAGAGGATCCGTGTGGTTTACGTCCCCTGGGACACCTGGCCGGCTCTGTCCTGCCTCCTCTCCCATTCCCCACGCCAGCCATTGTCCACACCATAAGCCATATTTTGCGACTGTTCCAGCGCTGAACAGTACTGTGTTGTGTGGGCCGAGTGCTGTCGCTGCCATCGAGATAACGTTAGCAGCCTGCTTCACGTTGCAGGCTTGGCGAGAGGTGTTGGAGTTAGGGCAGTTGCCCGCACTCCCACTTGGCCCAGAGCTTTGGGGATCAGTCATGGCCCTGTCACATGTGAGGGGAACTTTCCTCCACTGAGTGTCTGCAGCAAGTGAATGAAAAGCCCAGCAAGGGAAGACTGTCCTGTGCCCTTTCCCTTTACTTGGGCTGCTGTTTGGTTTTGCCTGTTTATAGGTTTTAAAAAAAATCTATTTGATTAGTGTATTCTGGGCATCTTCCCAGGTTAAGCACATTGAAAGCAAGTAGAGTCTAATGGCTAGTCCATGTAGTGGATATGCTGTGAAAACACTCCCTTTGTGATGGCCATTTAACCTGTATGCAGAATATTGTAGAAGTGAAAGGATATGATCGTTTTGGATTTCATTAGACAAAGTCTGACGCTGTTGACTACCTGCCGGTCCTGTTCTGGCATGCCCCAGCTTCTGAGGGGCTGTGAGAAGCAAGGGTCTCAACTGCACCAGAACCTCACGACAGCCTGCAGCTTCTTTTCAGTCCCCACAGAGCCCAGAGTTCACACGTGGAGACTAAACGTAGAGCGAGGCGGAAGGATGCAAGCATAGCAGACCGCCTCTTGCTGTTCAGAAAACAGACCTCTGCACTTACTTGTGTGTTGGATTAGAAACTGAAAAAATACACAAATATATTTAAGTGAAGATTTTTCACTCCACATTTATCACTCTCCACACTGTTGTCCTCATAGAAATTGCTGGTATTATTTGTGACCTACGAAGGATGTTGTCTGTTGATGCAGTGGGTAGAAACACATAGAAATATTTCCATAGATAGTAGTATAATATACATGATATATTTTCTCTCAAAAACTCAATCTTTAAAAATTATTATTTTATTGTACATGTTTATAGGGTACAGTCTCTTAACTGAACACATGCATTCAATGTGTGAAGATAAACCATGTTAATTAGTTCCATCTCTTTAAATATTTAAAACTTTTGTATTAACAAAAATTGTATATATATATATTGTGTAGAATGACATTGTAATATACATTTACAGTGTATACTGATAAAATCAGTAACTAACTTTTCCTTCCTAGTGTTCCACCACACAGTGGTATAACTGTAGTTAACAATAACCTATTACATATTTTCTGGGCAAATAGGAGCTCTGGGCCAGCATTGGCACAGCAGGTTAAGCCACTGCTTACAATCTTGGCATCCCATATTGGAGTGCCTGCTTGATTTCCAGCTGTTCCACTCCCAATCCAACTCCTTGTTAATGGCTTGGGAAAACAGAAGATTGTCTAAGTACTTGTGCCCCTGCTTCCCACATGGGAGACTTGAATGGAGATAAGGCTCCTGGAATTGGCCTGACCCAGCCTTGATCGCTGAAGTGAACAAGGTGGAAGAAGATCTTTATATCACTCTACCTCTCAAATAAATAAATCTTAGAAAGAAAAAAGGACGTTGAGGGCTGGTGGCATAGTAGGTTAAGCCTTCACCTGTGGTGTCAACATCCCAAATGGGCACAGGTCCAAGTTCTGGCTGCTCCACTTCTGATTCAGCTCTCTGCTGATGGCCTAGGAAGGCAGTGGAGGATGGCCCAAGTGCTTGGGCCCCTGCACCCATGTGGGAGACCCAGAGGAAGCTCCTGGCTCCTAGCTTTGTATCAGCCTAGCTCTGCCTATTGTGGCCATTTGGGGAATGAGCCAGTGGGTGGAAGACCTCTCTCTGGGTTTCTCTCTAACTCTGCCTCTCACGTAAATATAAATAAATCTTTTTTAAAAAGACATTGAAGGCTTCAATCTTGAAGTAATGACATATTTTGAAGTATTCTGCTAAGAGTATAAATACAGAAAGTACAGAAAAATAACTCCCAAATATTGCTTTCTTTAAATGCCATTTTTTGGTGGTTTTTTGTTTGTTTGTTTGTTTTGTTTTGTTTTGTTTTGTTTTGACAGGCAGAGTGGACAGTGAGAGAGAGAGAGAGAGAGAGAGAGAAAGGTCTTCCTTTGCCGTTGGATCACCCTCCAATGGCCGCCGCTGCAGCCGGCGCACCGCGCTGATCAGATGGCAGGAGCCAGGATCCAGGTGCTTTTCCTGGTCTCCCATGGGGTGCAGGGCCCAAGCACCTGGGCCATCCTCCACTGCACTCCCTGGCCACAGCAGAGGGCTGGCCTGGAAGAGGGGCAACTGGGACAGAATCCGGCACCCCGACCGGGACTAGAACCCGGTGTGCCGGCGCCTCTAGGTGGAGGATTAGCCTAGTGAGCCGTGGCACCGGCATGTTTTGGTTTTTTAAAAATTGTTTTTATTTGAAGGGAGGAGGGGAAGAGGACTTCAATCCACTCGTTCACTCCCCATTACCCACAACATCCATAAGGTGAATCCAGGAGCCGGGGAGTCCATCCAGGTCTCTGTTGTGGATAACAGGGACTCAAGTACTCGGACCATCACTGATGCTTCCCAGCCCCACTAGCTGGAAGCTGGATCAGAAGCAAAGGGGCTGGGTCTCGAACCAGCATTCCAGTATGGAATGCAGGCCTCCAACTAGCAGTTTAACCCACTGTGCCATAATGCCTACCCCTAATGTGAAGTTTTGCTCAAAGTGTAGACAGCCCTCCATATCTGCAGCTTCTGTTTCCAGGGAGTCAACCAACTATGGATTGAAAACATTTGCTTGGGTGGGAGGACAGGGTGGTCCACACAGACTGACTTCTTGGCACTCTTTCCTAAACAATGCAGTGTAGCAGCTGTATCCACAGCATTTACACTGTATTGGGGATTATGAATGATCTGGGGGTGACCCACAGTAGGCAGGTGCCTAGGTAAACACTATGCCTTTTTTTTTTTTTTTTAAAAAGGTTTATTTATTTGAAAGCCAGAGTTACACAGGAGAGGCAGAGAGGCAGAGGTCTTCCATCCGCTGGTTCATTCCCTAATTGGCCACAACAGCCAGAGCTGTGCCGATCTAAAGCCAGGAGCTTCTTCCTGGTCCCCCACATGGGTGCAGGGCCCAAGGACTTGGGCCATCTTCCACTGCTTTCCCAGGCCATAGCAGAGAGCTAGATCAGAAGTGGAGCAGCCGGTACTCAAACCAGCGCCCATATGGGATGACGGCACTGCAGGCAGCAGCTTTAACTGCTACGCCACAGCACCAGCCCCACACTATACCATCTTATACAGGAGACCTGAGCATCTGGATTTCAGCGTCTTGGAGGTCCTAGAAGCAATCCCCTGTGGGTTTTGAGGGATGTCGTCTGTGTTCCCTAACAAGAAGTCTGGGGTGATAGACCACTGAAGGGCCAGATGGTGGGTCTGCTGGAGTGTGATAGCAGTGTCAGTGAGAGCTGGGTGTGAAGGCTGAGGGCCTGACATACAGGTGTGGGAGTCGAGGAGCCTGTACTGCCATTGGTCCCTCAGAGTGTGATGCAGGGATGTGGAGCTTGCCAGCTACTGGAGGCCCTAGGCAGTGCCCTCCTGGCCACCCAGCTCAGCAGCTGTGCTTTTACAGACACAGTTAGGGTGTGTGTCCATCTGAGTCTTTTTCCCTTGTTCTTTTCACAGATGAGTGTGGGTCAGAGAGCCAAACTGACCATCTCCCCAGACTATGCCTACGGTGCCACTGGGCACCCGGGCATCATCCCACCACACGCCACTCTCGTCTTCGACGTGGAGCTTCTAAAACTGGAATGACAGGAATGGCCTCCTCCCTTAGCTCCCTGTTCTTGGGTAAGGAAACTTGATGCTGAAGGGCTGTGACCACCTCAGCTCCTCCCGCGTTATGTCCACTGTTTAACAAGTAGCAGAGAACAGGAGACATGCCACAGGACTTTTCTCACGCACGCTCTTCAGTGTTTATGAGTGTATGCATCAGAGTAGTGGTGGTCACTTGAGGAAAGGGAGACCTCGTGGAGATGGTGCTGTGGAAGCAGCGTCTTTGCATATACACAGCTTAGAGCCTCGGAAGTGAGTTGGGGGCCGTGGAAGCAGGCCAGAGTTTTAGTGCCAACATTTTAATTCTTTGGAACTAGGACTCTCAAGGCGTTTGCTCTCCCTTGTTTCCAGAAGTTAGTAAGAAAAGCATCTCTGACATGAACATTCTGTCTTAGTGTGGGCAGCTCTCCCGTCCATACAGTTTGTGGTCATTGCCTGTCAGATGATAGGAGAGGCATTGCTATTTTGGTCCACTAGCCTCAGGGAGCAAGCCCAGGACGCCTGAGGCCAGCAGGCCAGCTTCTTATTAGTGACTGGATAAATGAGGCCAGAGGGATGCTCTTGGATCGTACAGTCCTGGAAGGGACCTCAGGCACCTGAGTCAGCCTTCCTGTCTGTGTCACAGGTGGGGAGACTCAGGCCCAGGGAGAAAGCCTCACTCAGTCACATCCAGGAAGGGGCGAGCCAGAACCGGAACCTGTTTCCTGACTCCTTGTTCTACCCTCATTTCTTAGGAAAGCAAGCTCCGTGGCTCAATGACCCCATGGCTTTTGGTGTTGGCTCTAGAAGCATAGACACATGATGTCATTGTCCTCTTTCTAGCTGGCCCAGCCTTTCTCTTCCTCCTGCCCCTGGAACTGGGGGCCACAGATGGGCCGGGTGGGAATACTTGGTTCGAAAATGGCAGTCAGAGCTGCTGGTGACCTTGTCCTGCCCTGGCTGTGTCTAGTGATGGCTTTCTGTTACCTTTGTTCTCTCAGTGGCTTGAGCCCCTCACACCCAGGAAGGGCAGGCCTTCCTACCAGGAGGGAACCTGTGGCACTTCTCAGAGGCTCCCTTTCTTATTCTTTGAGAAGTGGGTCATTTGAACTTGGACGTACGGGGGGGGGGGGGGGGGGATCGTCTCAGGATACCGTGGTTTGGGAGTAGGCTTTCTTTTTTTCTTTTTAAGGGAAAGAGTTTATTGGGGGAAACCCAACAGACTGGAGGAAAGGGGCAAAGAAGGAAAAGAGAGAGAGATCAGGAGACAAAGAGAAAGAGAGGGGAGTAGTAAGTAGGCTTTTCTATAAACCTGATAGGGCAGTGACAGGAGAGACAAAGGCTGCACCTCTCACTGACCTAACCCTCCCACCCACTGCAAAGAATACCTTAGCTTCTCACAGGGGTCCTGAAGTTCAAGAGTGAACCCAGAAAGTTAGAAGGGTGAGTGAATGAACATAGTGAGAACTTCTCCCTGTTTGGTCTAACAGATACCAAGGTAGGGCTGGGGTGCTCGGTCTGGACCACACTTCAGAGTCACCCACTAAGCTTTTAAGAATCTCTTGGTACCTGTTCTATACCCTAAACCAGCTAGTCACGTTCATGTGGGTGGGGGATCCAGGCATTAGTAGGTCTGTCACCATGGCACACCAAGAACAGAGTTGTAGAACTCATGGATGTTTTGTCTCCAACAGATCTGCCATGGAGGGTCTGGTGCTCCAGACACGTGCACATGAATCCATCCGGAGCTTTTCCTGCAGTTCCACGATGCCCTCTGTACAAACATCTGCCCGACTGAATGTGTTCTGTCACTCAGCTTTGCTTCTCACACCCCTACTCCTCTTCCCCTTCCCCTTGTATGTGTGATCACCTAAACCATACGCCATAAACCTCAAGTGACTCGATTTATTCTGTTCTCGTTTTGGGGTGAAGATTCAGTTTCCATCTTGGGTCTAGGTTTCCAGTGAAGATGTGGTCAGGTGTTAACAGCACAAGTGATGGGTTCACTTTAGAACAGGAATTGGTGTTGGGGAACGGGGTTTGCAAGAATCTTTATTTTATTTTTATTTTTTGGATGAGATTTGTATCTATTATGTATTAAACAGTCTTGCTGCGGCACTGCAAAGCCACAGCAGAAGTGAGACGCTGCTGAGGGCTGAGAGGTCCTCGGGTAGAGTAACAGCCCTGCCCAGACTGAAGTGGGGACGGGAGAGCCTTTGCCTCCACAGCCCCAGCCCAGCCTCCCCGGAACCCTCTGCCTCTGAAACTAGATCACTTCCCTGCAACGCTGGACACTACAGGTACCTGTCCCTGGGCCAGCAGGGACCACTGAAGCCTTCTTTGTGACCTGGCTTTTTCTTTTCCCCTCCATCCTGTGGTTTTTCTAGTGGATTTTCAGAACTTTTATAATCTCCTAGCTATCCAAGACTCCCAACACTTCCTAAATTTTAAGAAACTTTTAATTGAAAGTTTAAATTGAAGGTGCTGTTTGTAGACCATCACCCAGCGAAAGCCCGGCCATCACGACACATCCTTGAGTGTTCTCTTGAAAGTGATGCTGGTCATCGCAGCTTCAGCATCTCCTGGTGTTTGATGCTTGGCTGTCTCCGCTGATCTCGGGTTTCCCGGCTCTGCCTCCCACCCCCTTCACACCCCTCTGCTCTCCTGTGTAGTGATTTGGTGAGAGAAACTGTTGCTGCCCCCACTTCGCTCCAGTACCACATGAGTTTCGAGTTTTATTATTGCAATAAAGTGCTTTATGCTGGCTTTTCTCAGCTCTGTCTCATGGTGATCACTTTCAAACCCTGCCCCGACATTTTGGTGTAGGGAGCTGAGGTTGGACTGGTGAGCAGTAGAAACGCAGGGTCTGAGGCTGTGTCTTGCCGAAGACCCACAGCAGTGAATAGCTTTAATGGCCTTCCTCATTGTTCTCTCTGGGGTTAGGGGTGAGGGAGAATGAGGGGCAAGAGGCTGAAATGGGCTGGGAGCATCCTCTCCTTACCATCCAGTGACAGTGGAATGCTGTGCGGTTCCCAGGGTTACAAAGAAGCAGGAGGCACTGCCAGGAAGGAGTCACCACGTGGTACAGAGGAGCTCCTTGTGGCTCGACTGTGTCCCAGAAGGAAGGTGAGCGTTTGTATCGGTGCTGTTTAGTGACTTCTGGGGTGCAGAAGCCTGCTGTGCACCTGCCCAGTGGCTGCAGTAGCTTCCCTGCTGCCCCTCCTCCACTGTTGCTGAGCTTGGAGGAGAAACATTGCCATGTCCATGTGTCACAGAGCTTACTGTCCAACAAGCCATCCTTTACAGCACATTTCAGAGGAGGTGGCTGACATCACCGCCACCCCCCATGTATATCAGCATACCCCTATCAAAATACAGGGCAGCACCATCACTGGGAAAACCCTACTAGGTTCTTTTCTCAGTCCGCACTGCACCATCTGTTTTTGTTTTCTGCCGTGAATAATGCTGCCTTTTCTAGAAGGCAACTTGAATGAAGTTCTGCACCGTGACCCTCTTGCGCTCAGCCGGCAGTGTGGTGTCTTCACTCACGCACACAGGGAAGCTGTTCTCAAAGTTCAGGGAAATGCTCTGGGTCAGGGTGGGCTGTGGGACCTGTAACAGGCAAAGTCTTGGCCCTGCAGAATGCCCACATCCAAGTCCTTGGGGTTGTGATATGTGGGAAAGGGACTTGCACAGGCCGGTGCTCTGGTGTAATGGGCTAAGCCTCTGCCTGCGGCACCAGAATCCCATATGGACACTGGTTCAAGTGCCGGCTGATCCTCTTCTGATTCAGCTCTCTGCCATGGCCTAGCAAAGCAGTTTGAAGATGGCCTAAGTGCTGGGCCCCTGTACTTAGCATGGGAGACCTGGAAGAAGCTCCTGGCTCCTGATCAGCTTAGCTTGGGCTATTGTGGCCATCTTTTGAGAATGAACCAATGGGTAGAACATCTTTCTGTCTCTCCCTATCTCTGTTAGTTTACCTCTCAAATAACTTTTTTAAAAAAACTTGGGCAGCTGTGATGGAATTAAGGACCCTGGGATGAACTGCCCTGGATTGCAGGCAGTCTGGTGTACTAAGAAGTCTTGTGGCTGGCACTGTGGCGTAGCGGGTAAAGCCTTCCTTCTGGGACACAGCCTATGAATACTGGCAATCCCATATGGGTGCCAGTTCAAGTCCCGGCTGCTTCACTTCCGATCCAGCTCTCTGATATGGCCTCAGAAAGCAGTAGAAGATGGCCCAAGCGCTTGGGCCCCTCCCTGCACCCGCATGGGTCACCCGGAAGAAGCTCCTGGTCTTAGATAGGCGCAGCTCCAGCTGTTGTGACCAATTGGGGAGTGAACCAGTAGATGAAAGGCTCTCTCTCTGCCTCTCCTCACTCTGTGTAATTCGAACTTCCAAATAAATCATTAAAAAAGAAGTCATACCAGAGTATGAGACTGAGGCATGGCAGGGGTAGAGGGAAATGTTTGGGATTCTGTGGTGTTAGCTTTGAAACTGCAGGAACAGGCCAGGAGGCAAGGAGCCTATATGAGCCAGGGAAGGTGAAGGAAAAGGGTCCCTTAGGGCTCCTGATGGAACACAGCCCTGGCAATGCCCTAATTTTAACCCTAAAGGACCCATTCTGGACTTCTGGCCCCCAAGACTGTAGGATAATAAATTAGGTTTTTTAAATCCATCAGTTTATGGTAATCTATTACAGCAACACAGGGAATGAATTCAGGACCATTTAGGGTATTTTTGTTTTTTAATTTTTAGTGTACTAGGGCACTTCCAAGGTTTGTGGATACAGGGGCGGACGTGTGGCACAGTGGTTAAGTTGCCACTTGGGATGCCTACTCCACATTGGAAAGCCTGGTTCAAGTCCCAGTTCTAATCCAGCTTCCTGGCAGTGTGCACCTTGGGAGGCAGCAGATGATGCCTCAAGGATATGGGTGCCTGCCACCTGCGTAGACCCATAGTTCCAGGCTCATGACTTTGGCCTGGCCTGGCCTTGGCTATTTCAGGCATTTGAGGGGGTGGACCAACAGGTGGAAGATCTTTGTCTTCCTGCTTTTCAAATAAAATGGAAACTGCACCCATGCAGCTAATGCAGGAGCATACCCTGCTGGAACACAGGTGACAGCAGAAAGTGTCCTTTGCTGCAAGTTTATGAAACAGTAGCCTCTTAATTTTGCCTTGACCTTCAGGAGGGTTGTGTGAGATTTTTGCTTCCTGAATACATGTTGTTTCACTCAGTTGATATCCGGACCTCAGTGGCCTCTTAAGGAACTCTCAAGAAGCCAGGGATCCTTGTTCAGACCTCAGAGTGAATTCAGTGATTTAATGGAGGGCAGCTGACACTAAAATTGGATTAAAATTAAAATGCAACCAGCAGCACATGCTGGCTTCCACGCGGAGCATGTGATAAATCTCAGTTCTGTGAGTTCCAGGCATGCACTGGGCAGACTGATTACGGGCCCATCTGAGATTGGGCCGGAAGCAGCAGCAGTTGCCTCAAGCAGCACACAGTGGAACAGCTGCCAGCTTTGTTAGGGTGGGAATATACGCCAGGGGTATGGGCATGGCACCGGTATGCTGCTGGATCTGCCTGCTAGGGAGCAGTGTTCCTTTTCCCATTGAAGGTGAATCTGTATTTCTCAAAGCAGTGCATGCCCAAGACTCATACATTAATCTAGCTAGCTCCAGAGAATATTCACCGTAAGCCATTCCTGGCATCCATGCTGTTCTAGATGCTCAGAATGAAGACAGGATGGATTAGGGAAAGGCACCGCCCTCAAGACTTTACATCCTAGTGTGTGACACCTAAAACAGATGAACAACAACAACAAATTGGAAAATGATGCACAAAACCCATGTTTAGTTTCTTCATAATATGCATTTTCCTTGAATCTTTTGAAGTCCTCTTGTAATGTATCCAAAGTGTAAAGGCAGTGAGGGGCCAAGTGAAGGCAAGGGCAAGTGCAAATGCCTTGGGGCTGGGTGACTGGGGTGCTAGGAGAAGAGCAGTAAGCCTAGCAGGTGGAGATCAGAGGTGTCAGGGGCCAGGAAGTCACAATGGAAGTAAAATGAGCAAAACGATGCCACTGGTGGATTTCAGCAGGTAAATGATGTCTTTTTTAATTTAATTAATTTGAAAGGCAGAGTGATAGAGGCAGAGAGTGATCTCCCATCCGCTGGTTCACTCCTTAACTGGCCACAACAGCCAGGACCAGAAACTCCATCTGGGTCTCCCACGTGGGTGTCAGGGGTCTAAGTACCTGTGTCATCATCTGCTGCCTTCCCAGGTGTGCTGACAGGAAGCTGGACTGGCAGTGGGGCAGCCAGGACTCAAACCAGAGCTCCAGTATGGGATGCCAGCATCATATATGGCAGCAGCTTATCCTGCTATGCTACAGTGCAGGCCTCCCTCTTTTTTTTGATCTCTGAGAATGAAAACTGACTGAAAGACTCCCACAAACAGCCCCAGCGATTCCTCCATGCCCTGTGAATCTAGAATGACCTCGTTACTACTTTGACTGTTAGAAGGCAGTGAAAAGAATACTCTTGAAATTCCAAGCCCACACTTAAGAGGTGGGGAACTTTTATTCTGTCAAGGACCATTTGGATTTTTATAACCTCATTTGCAGACCATAAAAAAAACTTAAAAATTAGCCTGTTACAGATTTATTGAATTTCGAGTCCCACCTATGGGGCCAGACCAAATGATTTTGTGGGCCTGATACAGCCACGGGCCAGACGTTCGCCACCTCTGTGGGCAGTAATGGGTTCCACTTCCTTCTCCGTACAGCACCACCTCTGGGCCTACACTACACAGAGAGGCCCCAGGGAGAACAGGCCCACGGGCCTGGCTGAGTACCAGTCACTGCCAGCGAGGAGCCACTGTGGCTGTGCTGCCTAGTCAGCGACACCACAGAACAGGAGACAACAGAATCATGAGACAAACTTGGTTTACAAGGTGCTTATTTCACAGCAGTCTGTAACAGAAACAGGACAGGGGCAGAAGCAGGACACCAGCGAGCCAGCTGTTGAGGTCGTTAGGCGAGGCAGAGGGACAGACATGAGGCCGACAGGGCTAGGGTTGCAATGTGAGGGAAAGGGAGTTCTAGGAGGGACGCGGCGACTCCCGGACCTGCCCTGATCACTGCAGGCCGCGCCACGGAGATGACTATGACAGACTCTAGGCATGCTCGCCGGAAACTGCTGCCATGTGGCACCAGCCCGTTGTCTATACTGTCATTGTTTCTCTTTGTGGCTTTTTTTTTTAAGATTTTATTTTTATTTATTTGAGAAGTAGAGTTACAGAGTGAGAGAGAGAGAGGTCTTCCATTCACTGGTTCACTCCCCAATTGGCCTAAATGGCAGGAGCTGCGTCGATCTGAAGCCAGGAGCCAGGAGCTTCCTCTGGGTCTCCCATATTGTGCAGGAGCCCAGAACTTGGGCCATCTTCTACTGCTTTCCCAAGCCATAACAGAGAGCTGGATAGTGGAGCAGCCAGGTCTTGAATCAGCACCCATATGGGATGCCAGCACTGCAGGTGGCGGCTTAACCTGCTATGCCACAGTGGCAGCCGCATAAATAAATTAATAAATCTTTAAAAAAAAAAATCTCCTGGGGCTGGCATTGTGGTGTAACAGGTTAAGCCGCTGCCTGCAACACCGTCATCTTATATGGGTGCTGGCTCGAGTCCTGGCTGTTTACTTCCTGGGAAAGCAGTGGAATATGGCCCAAGTCCTTGTGCCCCTACACCCACATGGGAGACCAGATGAAGCTCTT